CTAACAATGCTTTCGCTTTGTCCATTCCATTCCAATTCATTCCATTTATTTGCTTACGCCCCTGGGCAGTATGGAGAAAAGCTCTTGGGGGTTTCTATGGACTTATTGATTGCTTTTGGCCAGCATATCGCAAAACTTATTTGAGTATGTTTTGAGGGAAGGATCCTAACCCGTTTGGGTCAGTTTTGGGTGGGGGGAATTAGTCCGTCCGGCCGCATAGAATCTAAAAAGAAACTTGAATCAAATCATTCCATTCCATTCATTTCTCTTTTGTATCTAATCTCATCTCTGGACGAAACTTTGTAGCATGCGAAGGGGGGCAGTTTCCTCGCTGATCGTTCCTCCCCATTCCCTGTGCCCTTGTTCCCCTCCCGTTGCCCTGCCTTCAGTTTAGCATGAACAATTTGTTGATTTCACATTTGATTTATTTCCATTTTGTTGTGTTTCCCCTCCGGCTCTCACTTTTCTAATCGGTTGTCTAATCTATTCTCTGCTTGTGCTGTCGTTGCTGTCGTTCTTCCTTACTCAGAGGTGCCGATGTGTCCTCTCTCCACGGAGGCGTGGCTGCGGGTGCAGGTGCAACCACCACATCGGTGGCTCGTCCGCCCAGGAGACGCACCCCACTGATGTACAACCGACCGCATCTGGTGGCCTCGTACGCAATGAGCCTGCTGCTGAAGGTGAAGCCAAAGTATGCCGGTCGCGGGCGCCTGCGCAACGATGTGGAGGTGGCGGCACCGCGCTTCTGCGACGGCACAAGCAGCCTGCTGCGCATGTACCCAGGACCACTGCAGGGCCGAAAGTTGCACAAGGATAAGATCATAAGCTTCTGCAAGGAGCAGATACGCCTCGGGCCCACACGCGGCTGCACGGTTCTGTATGCCACACAGAAGAAGCCCCAGGGCAACGTCGAGAAGTATCGTGCCTCGCACGCCCTCATGTGGAATCTGCTCATCCTGCTGCTGCGCCAGAACGGGGTAAGCCAAAGACAACTCATTTGCCGCATATCCTGGGCCTATATAAACAATCTTTTGTGCCCCGCAGTACATTGCCGACACGGATGTCGGGGATCTGCTATTGGAGAACCAGCAGGAGTATCCCTACAATCCGTCCCAGCAGGATGGCGCATCCGAAACCGATCCCGAGGCCGATGCCGAGCCATTGGAGGCAGCGGATGCTGCTGTGGATTCGGACGCTGAAAGCGAAACGGCTGCCACCAGAGCCAGTCAATCCTCGGAAGAGGGGCAGACTGCCGCGCCAGGAGCTGGTGCCGAAGCCGGCGTCTCGGGAAAGCCAGCGACGTTGTCCGAGCAGGCGGCTACGGACAAGTTCCGTAGCTATGTGCTGCGCGGCAATGTGGAGGAGGCGCTGCAGTGGGCCACCGACAACAACCTGTGGACGCACGCCTTCTTTTTGGCTCTGTACGAGGATCGCTATGCTTTGACAGACGTGGCCCAGAAGTTCCTCAATCGCGCCATCAAGGCCAACGATCCGCTGCAGACGCTCTACCAGATGAAGAGCTGCCACACACCGGCCTGTGTCAGCCAGCTGCGTGACGAGCAGTGGGGCGACTGGCGCTCCCATCTCTCCATTCTCGTGACGAACAAGTCGCGCCATCCGGAGTCCGATCGCAGCTCGGTGGTGGCTCTCGGCGACACGCTCTTTCAGCGCGGCGACATCTATGCGGCCCACTTCTGCTATCTAGTCGCCCAGGAAGAGTTCGGACGCTACGACAGCTCGGCCACCCAGCTGACGACGCTCACGGCCGAGGTACCAAGGTATGCCCATGTCCCCAGTCCGACTCCGATTGATGGCAAATTAATGTTCTGTTTCTGATTCACAGACTCATTCTATTGGGCGCGTCCCACTACAAGCATTTCAATGAGTTTGCCAGCAACGAGGCCATCATCATGACGGAAATCTACGAGTATGCCCGCTCGCTGTTTGACCAAAAGTTCAGCATTGCCAACTTCCAGCACTACAAGTTCCTGTTGGCCACGCGCATACTCGACTATGGGCAGCATTTCCGATGCACCAACTACCTGGAGCAGATTGCCAAACACATTGAACTCAAGCCGGACATCTACAACAAAGATTTTATTCAGCGCGTAAGTTCCCACCACAAGCTCGGTTCATTCTCCTTTTAATCTGTGTTTCCATTAGGTTTGCGATCTGGCCGAACGTTTGCGCTATCACGATCCCATTCTCATCAATCGGGTTTCGTTTGCCAGTCCACCGATTGGCAACAACAGTGGCAGCGGCAGCAGCAGCAGCAAGGATCCCGCTGTGCCCGAGGAGAAGGCCTGGCTGAGTCAGCTGCGGGACATCATCCATGTGGTGAGTGTTTGCCACAAATCTCTTCCCGAAGTGTGTTCTTGACTTGGCATTTGCAGCAACCCCAACAGGAGCAACAGCAACTGCAGCACCAGAACGACATCGATCAGCAGTTTGCGGAGGTGAATCAACAGTTTCTTGAACTGAACAGGCAATATGATGGCGGCAATTTAGAGGATACCCTACATCTGTCCAAGGAGCAGCCACCTGTGGCCGATGTTCATCAACAGCAACAGCTGCCAGAGCAACAGCAGCAGCAGCAGCAGCAGCAGCAATACTATGAGCCAACGCCACAGGCCCAGCAGCTGCAGCAGCAGCCACAGGAGGAGCTGCCAACAGATGCATATGGGCAGCACGCCCAACAGTTGCAGCAACCGCCACAAATGTACTATGATCCCAATGCAACTGCAGTTCAGCAGCACTACGAACAGCAGCAGATTGCTGCCTCTTATGGCGGCCACATTGAATCAGCGGCCGAGGCATATGCCGCTGGCGGCCAAATGGTGGAACAAGCAGCAGCGGCAGCGCCATCTACTGGCTATGGCTATGACTACTGGTCGGGCACACAGCAGCCGCCGTACGGCGATGAGGTAGGTGCTGACTGAATTTGCATATCAAAACATAGATTACTTCTTGTCCCCTGCCATTTAGTTATTATTTTAAGTGTCTTCTGTTTATTGATGTGTTGTTGAAGTCTTGGTTTTTCCCTGAGTTGAGTTCGTTTTCCTGTCGTGTTGCCCTTGAACTTTGATTTTTTTTGGTTTGTTTCTGTTGTGTGTTTAGCCCTTACAAAGCTAGGAATCAAATCAAAGAATTGCTAACAAGTTTCTAATTATAAAAACACACGCACATACTTGGAATGCAGCAAACGGAAGGCAACGAGAATTTGAAGGAGAAACGAGTTAATCAGGAGACAGCAGCAGCTGCGGCAGCAGCCATAGGACATGTGGATAAGGCTGAGAATGATGAACACAAACAGCAACAGCAGCAACAACAAAAGCCCAAGTCACAGCCAAATTATCGCAACAATCCAATGAAAGTCCCAAAGGCAGCAGCCACAAAGTCCAGCCTGGAGATGGAGAGGACAAAGACACTTTTACGCCAAATGGCAGCATCCTCCGCTATTAAGCCGCAGACAGCAGCCACAACACGTGCCACAAAAGCAGAGCCAGGAGCAGAGAAGCCAGCAGCAACAAAGGCATTCAATTTGAATGATGTAAGTAGCTTTACTACCATAAATAAACGACACCAAGCTACCAGCAATAGCAGCAGCAGCAGCAGCAGCATCCGCAACAGCAGCAGCAGCAGCAGCACCGCCGCAGCAGCCATTCCTAAGCAGTTAATTAGTTGTAGAAAATCAAGCATCCATCTTAATAGTCATGTCACATCAACGCCCAAAACGCTAACAACGCCCACACGTTTCATAGCCGCTAAGGCGGCCATGGCAAAGTCATCGACAGCGTTGAAGACGACAACCACAACGAGTGGAGCAGCCAGAGGAGGAATAGCAGCACAAACGGGAGCAGGAACCATCAAGCGTGTCAACTTTAACTTACCCACGACCATAGATGAGTCCTCGGAACAGGAGCAGGAGCCGGAGCTGGAGCTGGAACAGCAGCATAACAACAGCCTCGCTCTGGCCCAGCCGCATTTTAAGACGGCAACCTCAAGGCTCTGCCGAAAGCCGCACATCGTCTTCAATGGCACTTATCCCATTGATATGCCCCTGAGTCAGGCGCAGGCGCAGGCACAGGCACAGGCACAAGCACAGACCAAGAGCAACAGCTATGACCCAGAGGCGAATGCAGAACGCGGCGATGTGCAACGCTATCGGTACATGCTCCACGATTATGTGATCAATGAAGATGCCGAGGGTGAAGAGCAGGCCGAGGAAGATGACGAGTTTGCGGATGAGCTGATGGGCTATGCGGATGAGGATGACTGCTACGACGACGACGATGATGATGATGATGCTGATGATGATGATGACGACTACTATGGGATGGTGCAGGATCATGATTTCCTTAACAAATATGGCATCATTCAGACCAAGGCATCGGCTGGAGGCGCTGCAACTGCAGCTGCAGCTGAAGCTGGAACTGCAACCACCTCGGGTGGGTCAGGTGCTGGGTCTGCCGCTGCCCAGCCACAGCATGTGTGGTCCATGCAGGAGCTAATTGCGAATCCCGCCATTCCGCTCAACTACAAAAAGATGTGCTCCGAGGTGGAGCAGAGTTTGAGTAGCTTCGAGACGTATTTGGATAGCAAGCAGCAGCAGCAGCAGCAAAAGAAGAAGGCAGGAGCAGTACGAACCTACGAAATTGATGCACCCACCAGCAGCAGGAACAGCGGCAGCAGGAGCAGGAGCTGTCAGGAGGAGGCGCTTAGTTCTAAGAAGAGATTGTAAAATCCGAAAATCGATTGCATCGATTACTTAATATTTAACACAAAAAGCAGCAATGTTTTGGTCTGTTGATATCCTTTTGGTATATCCTGCCAACATCCTTTGCGTGTCTGCCAGTCAGGGAGAACCAGAGAGAGAGAGAGAGTGAGGAAGAGAAATGCTGCTGAATGAGCGTCGCTGCTTTCTTGGAGCTAGTACCTGGGAGCTTGTCTAAATGTTAAACTATAAACTTTAGCGCATAATTATGTATATCCTTGTAAGCCTTTGCTAAACCATAAGCCTTCTAATGACAAATCTGCACAGAGAGAGAGAGAGAGAGATAAAGATAAAGTCAGTGAGAGAATGTGATCGAGAGAGAGAGAGAGTTTTGACTGCGCCAGTTTTTGCCCGTTTTTGTTGCCAACGATTTCTGTTGTTCTGTTGTTACGCCCCCGAAACTAACCAACCGAAAAACTCAAAACTAAACTTTACCAACTCATTGTTAACTAACCCAACACCGACCACTGCCGACCATTACACAACACTGAAATTAATATGTTCGAGCATAATCTATCTACAGCTATCCCTATCCTTCCGCCACTTTGAAATCAATAACTAATCCAATGAAATTTCCCAACTCTGCATTCGCATTCGAATTCGCAATCGACAGCTACAGCATCAGCAGCAACAGCCGCAGGGGCAGGGTCAGGGTCAGCGACCAGCAATCTCCATGCCAAAATCCAAGAGCTACGGGGATGAGGACGATGGCACGGCGAAAGCAGCGGCCAGCAGCAGCAGTGGCAAGCCAGGCGCTGGAACGGCAGCAGGTGGCAAGCAAGCATCGAGTGGAGAGATTGGGTAAGTCCCGGACATGCAATCAATCAATCGAATCATCTAATTCCATTATTCACTTCGTGTGTGCAGTGCACCGGGCAGTCAGAATGCCGGCTGGTTCGGGGGATTGTGGAACAAGTTGTCGCTGAAACCGAAGAACCAAATGATTCTGCCGGACGATAAGAATCCCACCATTGTGTGGGACAAGGATCGCAAGTGCTGGACCAACACCGAGGGCAACACGGATGAGGCCGAGAGCTTTAAGCCGCCGCCAAAGATGAGTGACTTGGGCATGGGCATGCCATTGGGATCACCACCAGCAAATATGCTGGGCAGTGGCATTCCCACACCCCATCTGATGGGTGGCCACGAGGCTGTGGCAGCGGCTCCGGCTCCACAGCATCCGCAAATGTATGGAAATCCGCATGATTATGCCGCTGCTGCTCCGGCGCCCGAGCTGTATCCAGCGACGGTGCCATCGCCATCGCCAGCACCAGCGATACCAGCGCCTGACCATGCACAAGCAGCAGCAGCAGCACCTACACTACCAGCTCCTGGTGGCGCTCAGCCCAAGCTGCAGTCGAACATGTTTAAAATGCAGCGAAATCGCAGTAAGTTGTGCCACAAGGAGCAGAGAGGGAGAGAGCCACTTATCTAACGATTCCCTTTTGCAGCTCTGAAGAACTCGTATGTGGATGTATTCAATCCTTCGGGTGCGCCCATGTCGGCGGCCTCCGAGAATGTCCTGGCTCCCATAATGGCGCCAGCAGCAGTGCCCCAAGGGGGCTACTTTGTACCAGGTGGTGCAGCTCCAGCGCATCAGCAGTAGAGCGACAAAATGCCAGCGAAATGTGAGTGGAAACGTTTAGGCTCCACTACTGATTCGATGACTTTCTCTTTCTTCTTACAGCTGAACTTCGAGCTACGTAAACAGCGACCAGCCATGCGCCCAAAGACTCACACACACGCACGTACACACAGCCAGGCCAGACTATACGCTCGCACACACACACACACACACACACACCCATTCATTCATTCTGCCACTCGCCTACGCATGTACCGTTCCACCAACAGCCAAACAGCAGCGACAAACAACACGCGTCAGTGTTGTAAAAGAAAGAAAAAAGATTACTACCGATCAAGCTCGTTCGATTGGAACTTGCATTAATTCTTTTTTGTTTGTCTGTTGTCCGTCATTTAACAATATTTTCTTGATGTGTGTGCGTGTGTGTTTCTGTGTGTGTGTGTGTTGTGGCGCATGTGTTTGAGTGATCCAGCGAAATCGATCTTTAAATGTTTAGTAAATAGCAAAATATATATATGTATATGTAAACCACATACCCCTACCACCCCACACACTCCTACCCCCTTCCCAACAAAGCAATTTCTGTTTATATATATATATACATATATGATATGATATTTCTTTTGTATGTTGCATAGTTTTTATGATTATTTTTTGTTGTTGTATAGAGCTGATGTATGAGAAGAGAATGATAAGAAACGTATTCAAAGGGTGTTCAAAGGTAGAAAGGGAGTTAGGCGGGACAAGGCACACAGCAGGACACAGGACAAGACACACACACAAGACATAACGGAACAGAACATTGGTTTTTGGTCTTTGCACTACTTTCCAACTCTACAACAAAGCAAAACGAAAACAGAAAACATCCAAATATCTATTTAGCTCTAACATATACGAGTAAAAATAAATATATTACATAAATGTGGTATGTGTGCACCTATCTCTATCTCTAATTATAATTCCAATTCCAATTTCTGTGTATTTTTTTTTTTTGCTTGTTTCTCTGTGTCCTTTCTGCGTTGCGATTGGTGTGCAAAAATATGATTAAAAATGAAATATGATTCCACTTGTATTTTCAATTATATGTTTTACAATCGTTTTATTTTGTTAGAATTTATTTGTGTTTTTTTTTTTACCCTGTTGACTTGATGCTTTAATTCTTAGTTTAAAGTTTAAACGAAAAACTGGTGCAGGCAAAAACAAAAAACAAAAAAATCCCCAAAAATATGGAATGAATGAAGAACGGAAATGATAAGGAAAAACTATATATACATACATATAAAACTAATCTATTTACATATATATAAGCACACATATGTATTACGTACAAAAAATGCATAATTGCTTATTTCTGCCAATTGGTGTTTCAAAATTGAGCTAAAGACCCTCCTCCAGTTCAGCCTTTTGATATACACATACATATTTAGAGGTAAACAATTGGTGTGCTGAAACCCGATCCGAATTGTACACAGAAATTAGAAGAAAGTGCCCCCAAGCTGTTGTTTTTTCCATACAATTACGATTACGATTTCTAATGGTTGAGGGGGAAACCCCCACCCCAATACCGACAGAAACTTGATATAAATTCTAAAAGTTTACTTAATAATAGCCTAAAATAAATACATAAATCAATGTGTATGAGAGAGAGAGAAAAATAAAAGAACATTCATGTAAAAAGAATACGTATAAATATATTTATTCATTGTCGGAAGATAACATCTTGGCAGCTAATTAGCCAGAGTTGGGCCACCAGCTTAACATTATTCTCACTGTCGTTGTATTGGAAGCTGTTTCCACTGCCACAATGGCCGGAGGTAGGACATAAGGCATCTGTTTATGTTTTATCTCTGCTTCTCCGCTAATATTCAGGTACTAGAAAACCATGCAGAGGATTCTCTTTTCTGATCTGCTCTGGCCGTTCCATCTGTTTCGCCACTACAGCTCGATGTCTTCACGAAACACTCCTTCGATTTCACAGTCATCTGCTGCATCTGCCTCGCTGTCGTTCCCGTCAGAGTAGGCAGCGGCCAATGCATGGTAGACATCGTGAATTTCATTCAAATCGTGCAACACCTTTGCCTTTTTGGGTGTGTGCGCAGATATTGGCTCGTCTTCCGATTCGGGATCAGATGCGGTTCCCGTGAGATCATCATCCGATTCTTTATCTGTGGGCAGAGTGAACAAAAAAGAGTTTTAATTGAGGGACAAACACGAAGCACAGGCGAACCCACCACTGTCTATCGTCTCGTAGCCGGCTGGTGGCTGTCGCGAGTAGGTGACAAAGATGGTGGGGAATTCCACAATCGTTTTGCCGGATAGATTCTCGCGAAGCGTTCTGTTTGCCTCCAGGTGATAGCAACGAGTGGCGCTGCGCCGGACGCCCTCGGCCTGCAGCCAAAAGCTCAGACCACCAATGCCCACCGTCTGATGGCGGACGAGGAGTTTGCGCTTCTCGCGTGCCGTCTCCTGCTGCAGATCCAAATATTTAAGCAGCAGGTTGGCCAGAGTCAGCTCTTCATCGCAGCGAGCATCCGCAAAACGGGCAGACTTGATCGGATCATCCTGATCCTCGTCTTCCTCGGCAGCATTCACAAACAGCCAATCGATGCGCCAAAAGAAACGATTCCGCTTCCAGTCCAGAAAGGTTGTGTTCTCCTTGTGGCGACTGAAGTGCGGTAGCAGCAGGGAGAGTTGAATGTTTCGCTTTTGGGCCGCTGCGCGCATGCGATGCTGCGGCACGGGCAGATATCGCTGCTGCTGGGTGTAGCGCTTGACCAGGTCGAACTTGCGGTCATCCGCGTACCGTGTGCACTCCTCCAGGAAGCAGTAATCGCTCAACAGTTCCCGCTCCGTCATCTCGCTAAGCGGCACAAACTTGGTGCGATCCCGCACGCCATCACAGACGAGCTCCCGCTTGTGTATTTGGACGCAGGCCACGCTGCACGTCTTCACCTCGCATTTGGGGCAGGCATAGTGGGCCTCCTTTCCCCCACATACCTCGCAAACGCCCAGGCGCAGGCTGCAAGAAATGGCACACGATCAATTTCATTGAAGTCTTTAATTACAATTAAACTAACCTCTTAACCGAAGTGTCTGCCTTTTCCGACATTTCTTGGGCGTGTGTATGAAGAATGGCGCGCACGTGGCGACTATTTTTGTTTGTGTTTGCATGTTTTTTGCCAGTGTTAGAAACGACAACGGTGTCGGAGCTCAAACATCCATATGTATGTAATTATACTAATAATTCTGTTGCCGTTTGCTTTTATTATATAACTTCGCTCCGACTGTCAAATTTGTGTCAGTTCAAGTCTTTATAAATAATTAATTATATTAAAATTCAAAACTGGTGAGTGACAACATAATTTATTGAGAAAAACAACAAAGTGCCAAAGTTTAACACACACCACACACACACACATTGGTACTTCTTTAGCGCGTTTGTGTTTTCTGATAGTGCATGTGTTCGTTGGTGGCGTTGCCACCTGTGATAAAAAATACGAATGGTGCCATGACATTAGACAAGATGCTAATACAAATATGGCAAAATTGGAAATGTCTGTTCAGTTGAGCTGCAGAAGAAATGATTCAAACAATTGTTGTACAATTTAGCTGGCTTGGAGCTATATGTGCTGGAAAGCAAAATTTGTCAACAATTGTTTGCATGTTATCACTCATGCCATCTCTCTCTCTTAGAATTGTCTAGTGTCATATCAGCATAACAGAAGTTATCGCTATCGATAGCCACATGGCGCGAACGTTCAATCTTGGATAACATTTCATCTCTTAGTTAATTGATAAATTGCGTCTAAATTAACCCACTGGTCTATCTTATCTATCAATAAAGCATGCTGAGAAGCAAGCACAAGAGCTGATAATTAAAATCTTGCGCTAAATCGTGTTGGTACACCCACTTAAGCATACATGTGTGTCGTTCTAGTCACAGATATTAATAACTAACATAATTAAGTCACGGTACCATTGCAATTGAGTGGCTTGACAGCTGGCTGAAAAGCGGTGGATAGATAACTCTATAAATATGGCTACACGTCGGCTAATCCACTCAGTGCGCGGCTACAGCAAGACCGCATGTCGAGCAATCAAATTGACTGGAATGGCACAACCGATGGCAACTGGTCACAGCACTGGTCCCATGTACAACACTCAACGTTGCGGCCCCAGGCACAACAAATCCGCATCCAAATCCAACACTGAAATGCCTATCAAGTGCCTATCGACGGCGGCAGCTAATCAACAGCAGGACCGTACCCTGGAGGAGCTGGTCTTCGATCCCAAGGGCGAGCTGCGCAGCAATAATAGTAACGCGGATCGAGACAATGCTGAATTTGAGGTGAGTTTCTCTGCTCTCCATTGATAAACTTTTGCCCTTCACTCCTTGTCTCTCTCCCTCTATCTCTCTCTCTCTCTCTCTCTGTCTGTTTGCGTTCTCAGAGGGCCATCAATCAGCTGAACTCGCTGCAATCAAACGAGGCGACCCTGCTGCACTCTGTGAACAATCCCAAGAAGAACCCCAAGCTGGATACCCTGAAGTATCTGGAGCGCAGCGGCCTAACCATGGACACACTCCAGAAGCTGTCGTTTATTCATGTTTCAGGCAGCAAGGGCAAGGTAACATCTAACATCTAAGGGCAGGCAGAACCTGTTTTGTTTTGTCATCGTTCAAAATCTGCCGAAGGCCACCCAAAAATTAACAGTTAGCTCTCGCTCTCGCACTCGCACTCGCACTCGCTCTCGCTCTCGCTCTCTGCCCGAATGCAGTGACAACAGCAACAACAAAATCAAGTTTCAGCAACTCGCTCTCTCACGCTCACGCAGCGCTAATCGCTAATTTGCTGATAAGATTTGTTTAGTTTCCAATTGGAAATTTGTTTATATACCCGCGACACTTGCCAATTATGGCTGTGTGGGGCTGACTGAGAGGACTGAGCGTAAACAAAATGCAGAATTGGCAGAATTATTATTATCATTGTTATCATTATTATTGTGCCTTGGCGCACTCCCTTGGTGGGTATTGCTCTGGTCGTAGTGCCCACCCATTCCCCTTTATCAATTGGCGCTTCCGTTTTGCACACCTTAAACATTGCCATTTGCTTCGCTTGCAGGGCTCCACTTGTGCTTTGACCGAATCGCTGCTGCGTCATCATGGAGCACACACTGGCTTCTATACGTCGCCGCATCTGGTGGCCACCAACGAGCGCATCCGGGTGGATGGTCAGCCCATGTCGAAGGGAAAGTTCGCGAGGACTTTCTGGAAGGTCTTCAATCGGCTGAAGGAGAGCCAGGGAGCGGAAGAGGATATGCCGGCGTACTTCAAGTTCGTCACGATTCTGGCCTTTCACGTGTTCGTCGAGGAGCGCGTGGATGTGGCCCTGCTGGAGGTGGGCATCGGCGGGGAGTATGACTGCACCAATGTGGTGCCGAATGTCGGCACCGTGGGCATCGTGTCGCTGGGCCTGGAGCACACCGATCTGCTGGGCACGACACTGGGCGAGATTGCGTGGCAAAAGGCGGGCATCATCAAGCCCGGCTCGCATGTCTTCACCAATGTCGACCAGACGGAGTGCCTGGAGGTGATCTGCCAGCGGGCGCAGGAGAAGAAGGCCGTCGTGCACGTGGTCCCACCCACGCGGGAATACTTCCGCTCGGAGATAGGTGCCAAGCTCTGGGACAGCTGCAACGAGATTATCCATCTGAATGGCTCGCTGGCCATTCAGTTGGCCAGCGACTGGCTGCGCCGCACCACCGGACCCCTCCACCACGACTACGATCTGGATGCGGTGAGGCTCGAGCCGAAGATGCTGCTGGGCCTACAGAATACCCACTGGCCTGGCCGCTGCCAGATGGTGGAGTACAAAGGGCTGCGCCTGCACTTGGACGGTGCCCACACCGTCGAGAGCATGACCGTCTGCACGCAATGGTTTGCCAAGAACATCAAAAATAAGTGAGTGTGGAAACGCCGGGAAGCTCCGAGCACTCCTAACACTTTCTCTGCCTCTGTTCTGCAGTTCCTGTCCCAAGATTTTGATCTTCAATCGCACCCGAGGCACGGAGTATCGTCCGCTGCTCACGCTGCTGGTTCGCTGCTGCGACTTCGACATGGTTTGCTTTACGCCCAATGTGGCATTCCCCGAAACGACTGTGCCCAGCCAGCTGATGGTGCGCATCAGCATGAAGAATCAGTTGATTCGTGCCAAAGATTTTGCCACCCAATGGACCGAGGTGTGCGAGAGGGAGAACAAGCCCGATCGCGGCCAGGTGTTCGACAGCGTGACGGAAGTGTTCAATGCCATTCGCGGGCGCTATGACAGGCACAGTGGGCAGCAGCTGGAGGTGCTCGTCACGGGCTCCATACACTTGCTGGGCGCCACCATTTCTGCTCTAGGCTTCATGGAGGAATCGCGCACCTGACAAGCCAGGAAGTTGTATCATCAGTAGCTCAAAAAAGAGAAACAATTGACAAGCGGATCCTTCGATCCTTCGATCCTTTTACACCTCGCACGACCTATGCACACACATCTGTAGAGAATAATTTAGAAGCCACAACAAATATTTAAACCTATTCTAAACATTCCCATAACTCCAAATGAAAAGGAAGAAATATACAAAGGATTTTGAATCGTTTATGCTTTGGTTATTTGTGTGTATTTATGGACTGCTGTCCCTTACCGACGGCATTTTACTTCCACTTGTTCCTTCGCACACACACACACACGCACACACACACACAGACACGTGCTGGTTCGTTACTTTCCACCCAACTGGCAATGCATTCAAATGGCAACTGTCGACTGTTGTCGCTGCCGATCCATCAGCCAGCCTTAAGGGTGACTCTGGCGGGGGTGGCTTGTGCTGATGCTCTTGCTTGTGGCATTGGCCAATCGGCGAGCGGCAACCCTGCTGAAGCGGGATGGCATGTCCCGATGCACTGCTCTCTGCGCACAAAATGGCTAACGTCGGAAGCGAACGGAAGTTGTGCTGTGTGCAAGCGGGATGGCATGCTGGCTGACGTGACTTATTAAATAACGGTTAAATGGCATGTTAACGGTAGCACAAGCAGCAGCAGCAGCAGCAGCAGCAGCAGCGGCCATTGCTAAGTTTCCAAAGCTTCTGCTGCTGCTGCTGCTGCTGGCTTCCAGCGCTAAACTGTCCCGTTTACAGCAACAAATCCGCGTAATTCACTTCTGTCACTGCATGTCCCTGTGTGTGTAGCACGTCTCCCCGAGGGTGGGTGGGCTGCGCCTTGTGCCTCGTCCTGTCTGCTAAAAGGATTAATAAACGTTCAGCATTTCGCATTTTCAGTTGTTCATTTGACTCGGCGCTTAGCGGTTCAGCTGCTGCTGCTGCTGCCCCATCCGTGTGCGTGCGTATCTGTGTGCGTGCAATCCAATTCAATTACAACCAAAAATCCCATCCATCCGCTTTGCATGCATTTGTGCCGTCGGCAGCCTTACCCATCCCTTGCATACCGCACTCCGGACTATTGTTTTTTTTTTTTTTGGTTCTCTGTGCTTTAAAGTGCAATTGAAAATGTAAACTGATTGCAAAGGGAAAGCGGAAACCAGTTTAGTTTAACCGGCAAAATGCAAAGTTCGAAATCGTTTCTAATACGCGATCTGCTGGGAGATCTGATCAATCGGCGGCAAACTGCAGATTCGGGTGAGTGGAGGTCCTTACCATGGATGGCATATCTTTTGATTGAAACTATTTTCACGACGAATGGAGGGAGTCCTACAGCAGTTGGCCAAATAACCCGAATAATCCTCAGATCATATTTTTGTGAGCTCAAATAGAATTTGCAGATCTTGTGCCGAGGAATGTGGATTTATCTTGTATTCGTTTCTTTCTTCTCTGGTTTCAGAAGCGCTCAAAGCGCTTTTGCTTATTATTCATCGAACGGATCGGATGTACAATTTGTAAACATCTCTCATCTTCCTTTGCTGATAAGCTGCTCAGATCTTTGCGACTGGGGAGAGAACCCCACTGCGTAGACGATCATGTCGGCTGTCGGCTGTCACACAGCTATCCAATATCTAAGCAAAACAAACAGCACTGCCCCTGCATCCAAAACCAATGCAGAATAGTTGATTTGCTCTTCTCATCCTCATCCTCATCCTTGTTATCGCATTTATGGTAAACGTCTTGCCACAGCCGCATACATTATGGCCCTATGGCTGGGCCAATTAACTTGCCAACCCACACCTTCCCCTGCCCTGCCCACTCTTTGATGTTTGCTTCTGTGCTCCGAACCGCTGACAAATTGCCTTTCTCTCGCTTTGTTTGCCTCTGGCATTTGAATCTCACACCTCGCTCAATTATCGCAAAACAAAAGTTTGACTGCAAAGGGAGTGGGGAGCGGATACGCCGAGGGGTTGGGAGCGTGTAGCACGCGCTTGCACTGCTTGCACTGCTTGACAGATGCTTGGCTCTCGTGCACACAAATCGCACATTTCGCAGGGTATCTCGCGCTGCGTTGGCCAAATGTGAGTCCTTTTCTGTGTGGTGGATAACCTGCGCTCGACCAATTTGTCACGTACAGGCACTTTGATTGTTTTAAGGACTGGCCGTGTGTGTGTGTGTGTGTGTGACCCCAACCGTGCGGCTCTGGCTTTGCTTTTGTGCCCTACTGTACCCCCTTGCCCAAGTGTGGCTCTGGCTGGTCTTCATGTAATTAACATTCTGTTGTTCTGGCTGACATTAAATAAAGTTTAACTCAACAATTGCAACTATTTAGAGGCTGCTTGTCGGCAGTTACCGTGGGCTGGCTGCTGGCTGCTGCTGCTCAACAATGGACCCAGGCAAAAACTAAACCAAATTGCTGGCACATGCCTGGATATTGTCTGTGTCTCTCACTTAATCGTACTTACGGGCCTATCCCCGTGCTGTTCTGTCCCACTTCAAGTGCCTATTAAATGGCAATTGTGCCGCAAATTGATACGACGTGACTTTCCGAGCAAAACGAAGGAAACTCACTCGAGACGCTCCACAGGATGCTCCGCACGCACAAGACGGCACCCATATGCATAATTGAATAACCTTTCAGCCCGCACACAGGACTTGCTCGCTCTCCACACAAATATAGAAATAATATCCGCAACGGGCGAGAGACACGTGAGCAGCGCACCCCCCGGTGGACCCTGAGGGCTCTGCTGCTGGATGCTGGGGAGTGGGGAGTGACAGTGCAAGAGTTCATTCGAATGGGAAGCAATTGAGAGCTCGAGACGACACGTGAATTTAATCGGGCAGCCCCGCAGCGATGCGACTCAATTGTGAACTCAATCCTGGGCACAACAGGATATGGAATCGGGATCAGGACACACACATATGTGGCGGATATAAATAATTTGTAACTTGGCATCGCAATTGCCAGTCAATCCGTTCGTCCCTCTGGGCCCTGTGTCTTCCTAATGGACCAACGCCCACTTGAGGCAGTGGCTTGTGCTCTGAGGCGTTGTCTATTGCTGGACGCCGTTAATGACGCTGACTGTGGCCAAAAGTGGCTGCACGCGCCTCCTTGGGGCCAAAGAAAGGGAATGCCATTAGCGCTCAAAAGCAGGCTACAGTATCTGCCCTCGGGCAGCTTCAATCAATACGCTTCGAGAGCAGAGAAACTTGGCTTGGCGGCTGAATTGAGTTGTGCATTAAAAGCGTCTCCCTTTTGCTTTCCTTTCAGCAGACATTGAGCTCTCCAACGATGATTCGGACATTGACATTGAGGATCGCTCCACACCGGACTCGACGGCGCATGGCTGCCAGCAGGAGCTGCTGCTGTCCCATCATCATTTTCAACATAACGACGACTCCAGCGTGGAGTCGTGTGGCACGGCCACACCGGGTCCTGGCCTGCGTGCTGCCGCTGCAGCGGCGGGCGTGGCAGCCGGCCTGCTGGCGGCAGCGGCCAGTGGTGCCAGCAGCAGCGATCCGGCTGCCACTGGTGGCCCAAGCGGCGGCAGTGGCAGCTATGCGGAGCACAAGCTGCAGATGAGCAAGAGCGGACGGAAGCCGAGACGACGACGCACGGCCTTTACCCACGCCCAGCTGGCGTACTTGGAGCGAAAATTCCGTTGCCAGAAGTACCTCAGCGTGGCCGATCGCAGCGACGTGGCCGAGACGCTCAATCTGTCCGAGACGCAGGTGAAAACCTGGTACCAAAATCGACGGTGAGTTCAACAGCAATTTTGTGGAAGACTCGAGTGAACGCAGCTGTGAGCTGCGAGGCTATCAGTTGGTCAGCATTACTCGGAACAATTGGATACTCTTAGCCATAGATTGAGTTCGAGTGAATTTGCCAGGCCTGTGGCTTCGTTTTTCCCCCGAAAGCTAAGGCTAACAAACTGAAAGCGACACCCCACAGAAGCAGCTGCTTGAAGCGACAGGCTGGCGGGCAGCTTCTTCAATTTCAGAACTCAAATACCAAATATGCCACCTCTGGCTTCATTTTGCTGTTTAGTTTATGTTGAAGAAAAGGCCAACTGACGAGTGTTCTCTTTCCGCTTTGCAGCACCAAATGGAAGCGACAGAATCAGCTGCGTCTGGAGCAGCTGCGCCACCAGGCCACGCTCGAGAAGGACTTTGGTGTGCCGGAGGGCGGCGGTGGCGGTGGCGGTGGCCTGGGCTGCTGTCCCACCGGGCTGAGCAGCTCGTTCAGTGCCGCTGCCGCTGCCGCAGCTGCGGCCAGCAATCCGTGCAATTTCTTGACCTCCGCTGCGGCGGCGGCCATCTTTCGGAATGTCAGCTATGTGCACGGCTGTCCCATGTAAGCCCTGGAAGCCCTGGAAGCCCTGGAAGCCCTGGAAGCCCTGGAAGCCCTGATGACCAGTGGCCTGTTGTATATATAAATAAATGATGGCAAATAAAATGATTCTTGTGCAATAACGAACCCAAGTGCATACACACACACACACACACACACACACACAGAGCCCGAGATATGTATAATCATGAATTAGGTTTAGTCAATTTACTCTTAAATGTAATATAAACCCAAACAAAACAAAACAAAACAAAAACAAATCCCACATTTTTTTTGTCGCACTCTTTTTTTTGGCCAAAATAAAAATATTTAATTGCTAGCTTGTGGCGTTTATTTCGTGGTGTTGTTTGGCGGTGTTTAACAGGACACAAAGTGTGAGCTAGCAAAGTAGTTTTGCCCAGCATAAGTTTTCGTTTTAATTACTCTTCGGCCTGGCCGCGTTGTCCGCTGCGTGATGGACTCACCGCAATAGCTTATTCACCACGTGCAGAAGGCCAAGCGCCAGAAAGGGATGGAGACACCAGCTGTGGTGAAGAAGTCACCGATTCACCTTTGTGCCTGGCTTTACTCTGTCTCTCTCTCACTCACTCACATGTCATTGTACATTGAACAAATGACAACAGCAGAGTCCGATATATTTTTGTAATTGTAAAGATCTTCCGCCTTCCGGCGAAATGCACACCATAACTAGCAAAAATCTGAGCAGCGAGGAGGTGCTGGAGGTACACAACTGGCTGATGCAGAACAATATTTGTGTGCAGCGGCTGCGTCGCGACTTTTCGGATGTGTGGCCTCTGGCCGACATATTGAAGCGCCACTATCCGCGCCTGGTGGATGTCTACAATTACCCAAAGAAGAGCAGCGTGCAGATGAAGCTGGCCAACTGGCAGACGTTCAACTTCAAGGTGCTGTCCAAGTTCAAGATAACGCTGAGCCGCGAGTTCATGGAGCTGCTGTCGAACGGTGTGCACGGTGCCGCCGAGGTCTTGCTCCACGAGATGATCCGACTGGAGAAGCGGCAGCGCATGGCGGAGCAGCGCAATGTGACAATACGCCAGGAGCAGGCCTGGGAGGAGAACGATGAGGTGAAAGTTGTGGTGGTGAACAAGCGCGTGGGCGATGCCATTGTCCAGATGCCACAGAAAATGATTTTGTACTCGCTGTACGAGAAAGTGTCGCAGGACAATCTGGCGAAGGATGCACAGATCGAGTCCTGCCAGCTTCGCTTGACGCACATGGAGAACATCATCAAAGTCAAGACACAGCGCATCGACGAGCTGCTAATGCAGATGGGCAAGCTACCCACGAAGCTGGCCAACCCGCTGTCATCCAGCTGCTTCCTCAACTATGATGAAAAATATCAAGCCCCTGCCCAAGCCGCAGCCCCAGCCCCTTCCCTCGACTCGGATAGTAGAAAATAAACATCAAGGCGAATTCCAGCAATGTCCCCAAACACACACACACACACAAACACACAAGTGTTTATTTGCATTTGAGTTTATATCCCCCCACACACAGACAATAGACACACGCAAAGAATTGTGAAGAAAGGAAATGCGAACTTGCCAACAGATCGATAATAATAAATTGATGGTTTAGCTTTCTTTCAACAGAAAATTTGTACATTCGATCTCGCTGCCATGTCCGCGAATTTGTTTACATTACTGGGGAAGAGCCAAACAAATCGTGAAGCTACCAGGAATTCTGGGAACATGAGAGACCAGGAATGTCTCGCGACAGGTTCTGGACACTTGATTACTTTGGTTCTGGACTTTGATTAGAAGAGAGCCAAAAATGCCATAACAATGATGTAAACTTGAGTCATTCGTTCGATTAATCTTCTCAAAATGTATTCTTGATGGCTAGGCACATAGGCCTAGGAGCAGTACCAAAATGTAAACTGCACACACAGCTGCCGTACCATAGAGTTTCAGAACTGCACGCTGTTTCGAGAGGATGGTAATGGAGCATCCTCCGCTCGCTGCCACAAAACATATGTACATAAATACATAAAAGCATAGATATGTATGTAAAATGTATGTACTGTGTGTTTGCATGGCTAAATGTCCCGTTCCACAGGCGTCGCCCATCGGCGGTTGGTGAGCTGTGAGTCATGCTTGAAAATCAACTTGAGCGAACTGCACAAAACGTTATCAATTTGTCGCTATATAGCAAATAACCCGGGACATATGCATTTGCTCGTATACCTGTAACCGTTGCCCGTACTCTAGGGCCGCCGTCTCTGCCACTATGTATGTGTGTAAATATGTATGCAAATATGTAGATGACTTTTATTCATATATTTTATTTCAATGTTCAAAATGTCCAGGAACAAACGAGAGAAAGGAACAGAGAAAGAGATGAAGAGAGAGCGAGAGCGAGAGCGAGAGAGGGCTGGTACAGCGCAGCCAACCGGAAAACAAGCAACAACTCTGGCACGCAATTATGACGGGCCAAAGGAGCGCAAAGAGCGCGCGCGCCCATTTGGTATTGGCATGGACTTGCGCCAAACTGGGATAGCAACAGTGCAGCAGCAGCATCAGTTGCGGTGCCGTTACCGTTACAGTTACAGTTACATTTTCATGCGCATTTAGCTCGCTATGGAGGGGGCTACACGAAAAGGAGGAGAAATGTTTAGCTACAAATTGAATCTTCTGTGAGTGAGTTAACGAGCAGGCAGGAGGCAGGCAGCCTCCGCCTGTCCATGCATCTGTGCTGTCTATCTATCCGTCTGTCAGTGAGTGGGACAGGTGGAGGAATGCAGAGTGCTGGGAGGAGAAGATAGAGGAGGTGGTGTGCGTTGGGTGTTGGGTGTTGGGTGGTTCGCTGCCTAGTTCGTTCGAGTGGTTCAAAGCGCTGCGCTGAGTCGGGGCCGAACAGAACGCTAATTAAAAAGACACTTGAAGGGAGCCACCGGAAACAAGTTCGAAGGCAGAGCGAGCACAAAAAAGTTTCACCTGAAGAGAAAGAGAGTAAAAAGAGGGTGGCATAGAAAAGCTAGAGATCTACCGAAGCTCTCGATACCTTTGCTTGCTATTGTTCATTTGGCAGCTTCATAAAAAGTACAGAGCTTATTAAAACTACAACATTAGGTAATATTTATCATTAGGATGCAACATTCGTGAAGTCCACCAGGGTAAAACTTTTTTGTATCCGACCTTTTGTGTGTTGCAGTCATTCGACTTGCATAGCTTATAAAACCTTATTCAAGGGTATGCATGAGCACCGCAGAGAGGGGCGAGACATTTACACACACAAAAAAGCTAAATCGAGAGAGAGTCATAAAATGAAAGTTGCAGCATGCATTAGGTACGGCGGAGGAGTCGTGCCAAAGGGAGAGAGAGCATAAAAGAAGTCATAGAACAAAAGCTAAAGAGACAGAGAGCGAGAGCGAGAGCGAGAGGGGAGCCGTATGCAAGGCAAAAGCGATAGAGGAGGACCCATAGAATAAAGCGTGAATCTAAATGGAAAACCGAGTTAACATTGCCATGAAATCGTCTATGAAATGTGAATGTAATTTAATGTATAAAATCTCATTCTCCCACTCCGCTGTAGCAGCCATAGCCAGACCCCTGCCAACCGCATACCTCCTTCCCCCTGGTCGTGGTCTGCGGCACTTGTCTAGATAGATTTCACATTCATGCGGTTCATTTGCGTGGCCATTGAGATCTCAATTGCATTTTTAATTGGTACATTTTACGCTGGCATCCTTTGAGCACAAAGGCGGACCATAGCACTGTGCCTGGGCATCCCCTTTGAGTCACGAGTAGCTGGAGGATCTTGTGGGGCCTTTGCCATAGCATCCACTTTGATTTGTATTTATTTAATGAGTTATTAATTGCATTAAGCTCTCTCTTTCTCTCTGTGAGCGGGGGCCAACTTTTGCAAACTTTGCAATTAAAATCAAGCAAAGCCAAGAGCTTTTGTCGAGCTGATTACAAAAGAAAACGCCACAGAAGAAACGAAAGGAAGGGCAGCTGCACACGGAGAGACGAGTAAGAGAGAGAGCAGCAAGCGAGCAGTTCAGTGAAGAGAGTTCCCTCTTCACGAAAAGTTAGCTGAAGAGTGGCTTAAGCTCTTAAAGCTCTCTGCTCTGCTCTGCTGTGTGTGTGTGTGTGTGTGTGAGATCTTTTGCAACTAGAAAGGGAAATAAAGCTTCAAGAATTGAGTGGATCGTTGCACTCCCGAAGTTTTACATACACAAATACAAAAATATGTACACACGTGCATAAGTACACTTGCAGATCTATGACTAGTACTTGAAGCCTTAAAACTATCTTCTTTGCTTTTGCTTTTGTTTTATTTTGAAATGAATGCCAAAAAGTTGCTGCTGCTGCCTGTGACTTCCCCCAAAATGAGTTCCTTATTTCAATTTCGATTTAAATTTGTTGTGTGCCATGCCCCCGCCGCAGGCCAAAAACATCAGCGTAATGATTGCGTTGAGAGGATGAGAATGAGAATGAGGATGCGTATACGGAGAGGACGATTATGTCATCGTGTCGAGAGGCGGCGGCGGCGGCTGGCTGCGGGATGGCGGCTTGCCAACACACTTGACTTCCGGATAAAGTCTGTGGTCTGTGGTCTGTGGACTGAGGGCTGAGGGCTGCCCGTCCGGGTCTGAGGGTTTTAGAGTCTGAGCCACGGGGCGGAGTCGGTGTCACAGTTGGAGATGTTTACCATATTGTGTGAACAATTTGTGGGTTTTGGTTAACATCTCCTTCCGCCTCGTGCTGCGCCTGTGTCCTCCTTTCATTGGTGGTGGATTCTGGTGCTGGTTTTGGTTTTGGTTTCGGTTTCATTTTGTGATTAAAATGTTTGTCATTATCCGTTTGGAAAATTGTCACAAATTGTGTTTGTGCCGAGGGCTGTGCCCCACTTGTCTGGCTGCAATTCTTTTTGTTTATCTCCCTCCACTCTCTCTCTCTCTCTCTCTCTCTCTCTCTTTAGCTTTTTCTGCTCTCTGCAGAAGCACTCGCTCAGTAGAGGCACCGTCGTACGATGATCCTATCCGAGCCGATCCCCCTAGCTTTGACACGCGAAAGCTTCGAGCCAGAGCTTGATCTCGGCTCGATCGGCCTGCAGCTGGTACGATCAATCAGTCATTCGCCATCGGTCCATCAATTCGCATTTACTATGAACATTTCCGGTCCTCAAACCCACCGGGCGTAAGTGTTGCAAGTCAAAGTTCTCCTTTTCCTATTGCAATTTCTCCAGGCACTCACCTATATTTATTTGCCTAACAAGTGCTTTGTGAATGTGAAACTATCCCTTAAGTGGATTTCAATCTGTTTATTTAAATGCAAAAAGAATAGTTCCTTGACTGCTAGAGTCTTGTGGGCCAAAGCCAAAAGGGGTCCTCCTCGAGTGCAACTTAATATTAATTCGAATGAAGATAAGGATAAAAGAGATTAGAACTGTGTGTTTGTGTGTGTGTGTACGCTGAATGGAAAATGTCAATTTAAAGCAAAAATAAATGCTGTTAAATTCTTAAATAATTATTCCCCAATTATTTGCACTCGAACGAACATATTTTGGAACTATCTTCCCTTGGAGAAGAAGTTTCGTTGTGATTTTAAGCTGAATCTTTCCTTCCGGTTGCAGTTTCAAATTCCCCCAATGAAATGCGATATTCGGCTAGACAGGCTCTACAATTTGAGCAGCTAAGCAGAATAGAATTAATGCCAACATGTGTTTGTGTCTGTCCGTCTGTCTGCAACGATACCGCTGGCTCCCCAAAGATAAGCTTCCAAGATAAGATATTCCAGGGAACCAAAATCTAAACAAATCGGTTGGAGTTTTCGTTTTCGTTTTCGGTTTCGTTGTCGCTGGAGTCTCTTCTCAAATGACGTAGTCAAACACTTGTTAGATGACAAAAGTTAGCCCTAATTCGCTGTTCGGGATCAGGCTCGATTTCAATTGGACTCTTTCTATTATTATTTACATGCCACAAACAACAACTTCATTAGATGTGAAAAACGCCTACAGCCCTACAGCCTACAGCCTACAGCCTCTCTCAAAAGGGAAGCGCATAATGATATGAAAATCTGTTGGCTTTTGCCATGCCCCGAAGCCAGAAAGCCCAGAAATTCGACAGCCTATGGGCTGGGGGATGCGAGTCCGTACATTTATATTAACAATTTGCCTTAAATTAGGCGTAAAATGCACAGATTGGTGGCACAAACAACAAGCGCCTCATCAGGCTCGATGAAAGGTTCACTTTACAACAAATAAAGGGTGGTGGCCCTGCTGCCACTTGTCGTCTTCCACTCTTCGAGCACAGCCCATTATCGTCATTACGATTGTTGCTACTATTATTATTATTATTCTTATTATTAGTATTATGTTTGGGGGTGGTGGTTGCGGTTGATGTTGCTGCGATTGTCGGGCCAACCCTCGCTAATTGAGCGCTTTTATCAGTGCTAATTGAAGTGAAGCAGCAGCAGCAGACAGACAGACAGACAGACAGACAGACAGACAGACAGTTCATGGGTTGACACTGATTGCGTCACAAAAGGATGCGAAGGATTCGCAGGAGCAAAACGGGCAGGAGAGGGTGGGAGTGCTTCTGCACTTGTCCGTGAGATACTCGCATGATAATAGATGCCAATGCCGATGCCGATGCCGATCTGATCCGCTCGGACTCTAAGCTGATTTGCATAATTGGCTGAGCTTTGTGTGAATGTGAATGGATGCGCTGGGCCATCAAAAGGGAGATACTGCATATTGTGATATTGTACTGCTAAGTGGATGTTGTGTGCTCTAACTTAGCCAAGGATTCTCACAGGTTTTTATATTCTGGTTCTTGGCTTGGGATGTATGGCGGAGGCATGGGCGTGACTGCTGTGCATTTGTAAAATATGCATAATTAGAAGAAAAACAAAACACGGAAAATGCACAATGGCCATTGGGGCCATTGATGTTTTGGCTTAGCTAGGGAAAAGTGTGTGTGTATGTATGTATACATGTATCTACAACAAGTTGTTAATCTTTTCATGCGGCCGCATAATTAAAATATGAATATGCAAATTTCAATGGGTTTCTGTTTCTGTTTCTGTTTCTGTGCGACCCAAAATGAACGGCAAAAGGGTAACGGCAACGGCAACGGCAAGAAGAAGAAGAAAAGGCCAAGCAAAAAACAGAAAAGACAAAGGCAAAGGCAAAGGCACAGAGAGAAGCAGAGAGATTCTCACACACGCACCAGAACACTCTCTCTTGTTGACAGCGACTTAACAGTAAGGTGAATACGTGGGTAGAGGGAGTGAGAGCGGTGTCACCTAGTGCCATCCCATTCGTGCGCTTTGCGCTTTTTACCGGTTTGTACGAAGTAATTGCAAAATATGAATGCATAATGAGGAGATATTTTCACAAGTACGCAAGAAACTTTCAGGGCAGGAGCAGGACGGGCTCATAGGAACGGGCAAAAGGTGACTTTTATGCTAAAATGCGCACACGGCGCGTGCATTTGCATTTGCATTTGAATTTTGCCAGTCGCCGTCTTGCACGAAAAGCAGCACAAGGACAAGCAAATGCATGGCTCTCCATCTCCATCTCCTTTCCTCTTTTCACCAATTCCCTTGAACACACACATTATGCGCTTTTCGCTATAAATCACACACACACTCACATACATGTATATGCAAAGTATAGTTGTCAACCTCACTCACGCGCTCTCCAAATGGAAGCATGTATAGTGCACCCGCTCTGGCATGCACTCACGCACCCACGCACCATGTGACGCTGAAAACATTTCAAAATGTGCCAAAGTATGCGGTTTGCTCATTAAAATGCTCATCCTCCGTCGATGCTGAACTGTTTTTGGAGTTGCCTCTGCCCCGCTCCACGCTGATATGGTTACGATGATGCCTCTGCTCTTCGCTTTTTTTCTTTCAGCTCTTCCGCCCAGTCGCTTAATCGCCCCATCCGTCCCCTGGGCTTCGATCTACAGGAGTTGCGTTTTGTCATCCAGCAGTCGCCGCTGCGTCATATGTGCCCCTTCCTATTTGCCACTGAGGACATATACGAGGTGAGCGCTTGCCCACAGCAATTCCGAAACTGATCCTCATCTCACATTGCTTCCATTCAGATCATGGACGGCTTCCATCTATTGATGGACAACGAATCGATCGCTTTTGGTGCCGTCCCCCAGGGCACCCTGATGGTGGCCGGGATGATGGTGTATCTGCTGAGCCACGAAGAGCTGCAACTGAGCCATGTGAAGCGCACCCTGTTCCTGCAGCGCTGCTTCAACTACATGGCCTGCACCGAGGAGACGCACGTAAGTGGCACACAGCATGGACAGCATGTAAATCAGAGAAATAACTTTCAATCGAACAGGTGAACGATCTGTGCTTTTACATCTTGAAAAAGATCAACATCAGGGACTCGGATCACATGCTGAACCTGATCCTTTGCTGCCAGGATGCCAGCGCCTTGTGCACCATGGCCCAGTTGGTGTGCAGCTGCCTGCTGTGGGCCGTGCTCGACTGGCTGACGGACATGGGCACGGGCATCTATCGCCTGCGCCCCTATTCGGAGCTGAAGCTGGCCATCAGCCTGTTGAATCCCAGCGTCTGCGTGGAGTCCTTTATGCACGGCCTCAATCTGACTGTGCGCGCCATCTCGGCCCTGCTCGTGGTGGGCCCGTACGGCAACACCGTGCAGATATGCCACGATGCCGGTGTGTCGCCCACCATATTCGTGCTGCCCGACGACGATGCCTCCTTTGTGTTTCGCTGGCTGAGCGACGTCGTCAACGAGTTGCGCCGCAGCATGGACCAGGCGGATGGCCACATGGAGGAGCGCATTGCGGTGCTGGAGGTGGCCTGCCACATCATGCTCGTCATGCACGAGCATCTCCTCATTGTTTATCAGCGCTTGCGCGACCTCGACCCAGAGGCAGAAATTCTTCCACTGCCCGAACTACCGCCAGAGCCCGAGATGGCCGCCAACGCCAACGCCAACGCCAACGAAGGGGAGAACGAGGACAATTCCGTTTAATCTTAATCAAAATGCAAACATTTGAAGATTTGTAAGATTTTGTGGCCAAATACAGCCCCAGTCCTGCGGCAGAGACATGCATTCACTCGCCCAGGACATTATCTAACCAATTTTCCACATCGTTTTTGCTAGCCGCCGACGACGGCGTGGCCGGCTGAACCATCGGCATCGGCATGGGCATAGTGCCAGGGGCAGCCGCATTGGGGTCCGACTGAATATTTGTCATGGCCAGCAGCTCCTCCAGATCATCTGCCAGGGCACTGTCCGGAGCTGGAGCTGGAGCTGGCGTTGCCGCTGGCACCGAGGACTTGGAGGACTTGGCGGACTTGGCCGAGACTTGCCGTGACTTGGCGGCAGCACTGCCATTGGCCTCGCGCAGCACACTCTGCTGGTAGAGCGTCTCCGCCCGCTCAGCCGCCTCCGTCTGGGCCACGATTTGCTGGCGTGTGAACATGGAGGCGGGATAGTCCATGCGCTTGTAGAAGGGAATCGTCTGGAGGCCGGCATTGAGGCGGACAAGGTTCAGGGCAAAGTAGCCGCTGGCCGGCTTGGTGTGCAGCTGCGTCTGGCCCTCGGCAATGCTGTTCCACTCCTTCTCGGAGCCGAAGGTGAAGTGGCCGCCACCCATATTGGGGAATTGCGTCAGCTGCTTGTAGTCCCCGGCCCGCAGTTGGGCGCGGGCGCTCTCATCGATGGGCGCTCCCGTGTCGACGCCCAAATGGTCCACGTCATCCGTGTCGCTGGGCAGGACGTCCAGCAGGTCCCGATTCATTTGAGGAGCCAGCGCGGAGCCCCGGGATCCGCCGCCGGATGCCCAGTTGCCCTTGCGGGCAAAGCGTGGCTCGTCGCTGGAGTCTGCCACATCCACGATGCTCCGCACTGCCGTGGTCTGCGGCGAGCTGGACGATGTGGTGGTGGTGGTTCCACGGCGCTGCTGCTTGTGATGAGTGTATTGCTTCATGTTCCGCCGCTTCCTGTTTTGGTTAAAAATCAGCAGTCAGCAGTGGCACCAGTGGCACCAGTGGCAGCAGTGATTACGTGCTACTTACTCCTTGGATCGATCGTCCTTGCCGGACATTCTGCTACGTAGTTGGAGTGGCGGGGGCCACGCAAAGGTAATTTGAATTTTTAATTTTGGGTTTGTTTACACCCTCAGTCAGATGTTGTTGCTTTGGCAGCAGGCCCACTGCTGCAAGTGCGCATAACAGCACGCTGTTAGCAGAGATATCTATGCTCGTAACAGCACGATTTATTCAGCTTCTTACATTGCTTTCCAGGGCAATCGATATCAGATGCTCTTGATGCTCTTTCTTTTATTTAACATTTCCAGACATTTCCCTCTGCAGTTTGTGGGAGTTTCTCCCTTTCCACCCACATACTAATAGGCATGTCTTATGTAAATTAATTTCAAGTAAATTTGTACCTTTTCATAATTATCACTCGCCAAAAGTTTGAATTTTGCTGTGATAGTCGCTGTTGCTGTTAGCGGTGATAGTTGCGCCGATAGGCATACATGTGTATAGAATGTGCTGTTAAGCGCAAAACTAGGCTTATTTTCATTTCTTTATTTTTTTTCCCAGCCACCTATGCATTCTCTTCATCCTTGCTGCATTTTTGATTGGATTGGTAAGTTTCTGGTAGATAGCGACTGGATCAATGGAATGTATATGCCGTGTTTATTTTGCTGACAGCGGTTGGAGATGTTTGGCTATCTGAAAGGCTTACGCACTAGCCACACTCGCAGCCAGCTGTCAGGCGTTGCCGGCGAGATCTATCGGGCCTTTTTCGCAGAACTGATCACCACAGATGGACCAAATACAGTACAGAGTACATATCCCGCTGCCGCGACACTGCTCCATGGCTTCGATGTACAATCTAGTAACCAGAGTGTAGCCATAGCGCCCTCGGACGATGATGTGTGGATCTTTGGCTATGGGTCGCTGGTGTGGAAGGCAGACTTTCCGTACATCGACCGTCGGCGCGGCTTTGTGTGGGGATTCAAGCGGCGCTTCTACCAGCACAGCATCGACCATCGCGGCGTGCCGGAAAAACCTGGCCGGGTGGTGACCCTGCTGCCCGGCGACCCCGCCGAGGATCGGGTCTACGGCGTGGCCTACCGCATTGCTGCCGCCCAGAAGAGTGCGGTGCTCGACCATCTGGACTACCGCGAGAAGAACGGCTACGAGCGCTGCAGTCTGGAGTTTCACGAGTACCTGTCCGCCACGGAGCCCCTCCAGGTGATAATGTACGTGGCCACGCAAGCCAATGACTCCTATGCCGGTGACGTGTGGCAGGTGCCGTGCATAGCCAGGCAGATCTTCACCTCTGCCGGACCCAGCGGCCCCAATCGAGATTATCTCTTTAACTTGGCGCTGGCCATGGACAAACTGTTTCCCGGTGCCGTTGACGAGCATCTCACGGAGCTGGTGGCCTGTGTGAGGCGCCACATCGAGCAGGACGAGCCCGTGCTGCTGCAGCGAGCCCTGCTCGAGGAGATCACGAACATCCTCTGCCAGGCGGTCGCGGAGGACGCTTCCCTGGATCATGGGGAGATTTCGCGGCGGCTGGAGGCTCTGCATTGCAGCTGCCAGAAATCTGGCTGGCGGGAGCCACTTCTTGACATACAGCTGAAGCGGCAGAGCTTTAGTCCATCTTCCTGACGCCCCGCAGACCACTTCTATCCCATCAACTAGAGAATTTTTATTTATTATCGTTAGATGTGTTGTTGTGTCCATTCCAAATGTTTCCGTGAATACATGTCGCCATCTAGGGCGGAAGATTTGTGTAAATCTGCGCTGATATGGCGCAACGGATTATTTATGGAGGCAGTTTGAATTGATACCAGCTGGCAAATGATTTACAGCGCGATAGTTTAACATTAGCATATCGATGTTTTTGTCTTGCGATATGGAAATAAATTCCAATTGGCGTCTCTGACCGTCATATTGCTGTTCCTCCTGTAATTTCGAGACTTGAAGTTGCAATTAGGCCACCAAAATGAATCTGGGAAAAGCCGATCTACTATCAAAATGATACCAGTTGTTAGAAATGCACCTTGTGTGTCGATAGGCTGTGCAACCTCGTTGTGCCAGCACACCTTGCTAACTTTGCGTAAAATCAGGTACGAATCATCATCATTTGATGATATATCTTTCGATATATTCAATATCGTCAAATGGCCACACTTAACGAAAACTAATAACAATACTGTCGTGTCTGTTTTCTGCGCGTTTTGCGAACGGATTTTCGCCTTTGTTTTTTTGTTTATCGCGGCCATCGTGACCAATAGCAATTGCAAGGCAATGCATTAACTAATTGGTCAAGCGTGACGAGTGTCAACGTCAACTTGTGTGTCCACCGTGGCCACCTACAGAGGAAGGAATTCGCCATGAAACAGGTGGGCGCCGTGCGATGGGTCGGTCGGTTGTGGTTTGGTTACCTCCAGAGGAGGGGTGTGTGGGAGTGTGTGGATCTGCTCTTCTTTTATTGCTGTTGTTGTGGCTGTCTCTGTTGGTATTTTGCTGACGATGATGTTATATTGGGTTTGTTTTTGTTTTTTTAATGTGCATATGCAAATTCTTTTGTTTTGTTTCTGGCTAGAATTGTTGTACGCAATACGTACATACATGCATAAGTCGTGCATATGGCAGTGTGAGTGTGTGTTAGAGAGTATGACAACATGTTTGCATTTGCGTATCGCGCGAATAACTGTTGTTTGCTCTTCGAGACGGGCCAACCCAACCCTATCCCACTTGTTCAGATGAATCACTTCAACTGGAGTATAGTAAATCTTTGAGGTTGAAATTACACTATACTACACTACGCTACAATACACACACCCACATGCACTCTCATGGGGTCATTTTCCACCGCTTATCAAACAAGAGATGGCGCTGCTATGTTTGCTTGTGTGTGTGTGTGTGCACATATAATGTATATCTTTATCGTTATGCGTGCCCTTGTGGGTGCCCAACAAGTTTCTTATTAGTGGGAGATTGGGGATTCGCCAAAAGATTATGTACATTATTCATATGACGCAAGAGCTTTTCTGCGAGCGTTGTTCCTTTTATTGCATACTTTGCTGAGTTATTGATAATGGCGTCGTCGTCGTCCTGGTGCCTGGCTGCCGCCCGCCCCCTGCCCTCCGTCAGTGAGTGTTTGCGTGTGCGTGCGTGCTCGCTTAAAGGACATTTAGCACATTTCCAGGCATAACTCATTTCAATTTCAATGCAAATTTCCACCATACATTACACACACACACACACACATGCATATGTATGGTTTGTATGTGGGGCGTATTTACATTTTAGCAGATTACATTTTTTAGTATGTATGGGTTACATCCCCACCCTTCTTTAAACAGATGCCCCGTTCTTCCGTCTTCGCACACACATGCGCTCACTCACACGCGCTCAACCACCCACAACAAGTATCGATTCCTAGGGTTGCCAAGCAGTGCCTAAATCTAGGCCTAGAAATCAAAGCCAGACAGACGGTGACAACCCTTAAACTCTTTGCTGCTGCTTTGCATAACCACCAGGAAGGATTTGTGTGTGTGTATATGCCCATATACATACACGTGGGGGAAACTGCGCGGAAACCAATTTCCCAACCATTTAGTTCAGTTTTCGGTGAAGAGCGTCCAGACGCGCGTGTCCCCGTAGCTAGGAGAAAAATCCTCTCTAGAATCATCCATTTGGCCATACAAACATCACAAAAAACCTTCAAATTTAAGAGAAAATCGTAAATCAAAGACGCTCTAAACTGTCTCCAGATGTTTCGCAACGTAAATTGTGTAAATGTCCAGAAACTAGCTGTAATTTTGAGCTCGGTTGAGCCCCAAGTAGTGGGGCAGAGCGAGAGAACGAGTGTGTGTGTGTGTGTGTGTGTGTGTGTTCCTGGTGCTGCCTTTGCTGCTGCTGCTGGTTCTGCTCCTGCGCTGCCTCAACAAATTTTACAGTTGTGTGTGTGTGTGTGTGTTCTCGTGTCATGTGACCGCGCGCGCAAAACATTTTGCATTGTTTTTGCTACGTTCCGTTCTGCTCACGTTGCTATTCCTTCTGCTGCTGCTGCTGCTGCTTGCTGCTTGCTGTCCTGTACGCGAAATTATTTTTGGGGGCGACTAGCGTAAGCATGCGCAATGGCCCCCCACAAACTGGCTCTACCACACAGCACAGCGCTCACATGTTAGCTGCTGTTAGCTGTCCCCGCACACGTGTGTGCAAAGGAACTCCACGCGATTATAGGGCAAGGTTTAATCCAATCCAATTTTGGCCGCCTTGATGTATGGCCCATTGACAATTGGCAAATTGGAATTCCAGAGGATCAGCCAGTCCATACGGCAAGTCCATGGGTGCCATTTATGGACAGTGTGTGTGTGTGTGTGTGTGTTTGGCTGTGGGTGCGAGGGAGTGCGATAGGAGTGCGTCCTATCCTCGTCCTAGTGAGCATCCCCTCTTTGTGTGTGTCTCTCTCGCGCGCGCTCTCACGCTCGCACTCTCTGGGGCAAAAGAGGTGCAAATGCCTTCGCACTGGCAGAACGTACACACTCTGTCAGGAGTAGCAGAAGCAGCAGCCTCACAGTAGCCAACTGACCAGCTAACAAGAAGCTTATTTTTTTGTTGCCTCTCTTGCATGGAGATCCCCCTGTAATCGCGCACTGTGGAGGCTTAAAGAAACTAGAAATAAAACGGCAATAGGAAAAACAACCGTTAACGGCTCGCGCGATTCTCTCACTCGCAATTTTGTCTGTTTCTTCGTGTGTGCTGTGGTTTCTGTGTGTGTGTGTGTGTGAAGAAAATCAATTGACAGAAATGTTGATTCAATTTTTTGTTAGTTTCTTGCCCTCTGTGAAGTAACAAAACCTTCCTTCCCTCCCCCCCTGGCCACACAGATAGATGGTGGAAAATAAACTTGAGCCAAAGAAATCGCCCAATCCTAAGTTAATGATTAACCAATTGAAAGGGAGGAAATTAATCATCGTTTCACCTTTTTTTTTGTGGCTGTGAAGATTCCCACGACTGTTTGATGTGTGAGTGGCAAGTGTGAGTGCGCGGAGAGAAGAGAGGGAAAGATGTAGTTAAAGAGAAAAACACAAAAGAAAAAAATAATATGTGAGTAGCAACAAGCAAGAAATCAGTAAGGGTACCCCTGTGCTCATGTGTATTAAAAAGGAAATCTGTAAATCGAGGTTATCTATACGCACACACGTACAGTGAGCATGTGTGTTGGTGGGAGGGAGTCAAGTGAGAGCGAGAGGGATATGCTTACTTACACAAATGTCTATATGTATATATGTATGTACATACACAGATTTGCTTAGCAGCATCCTACTCCCCTACTCTCTCTCGCTCTCTCTCTCTCTCTCTCTTCCTTACACTCACTCCCCCCAGCGATGGCATTTTAATCATCATTACGAGAGTGGTGTGGGGGGGGGGAGGGCCCACTGTCATTATCACCCCCTCCCCTTCACAGCCAGTGAACTGGGGTAGGTCCGTCGTCGGTCAGGCGCCATGTGTACGCTCTCTCACTCTCCTCTCGCTGCCCTCGCCACACACAGCGATGTTTGTTTTGCGGGAATTAAATTTAAAGTATGGCAACGATTTGCTTTTCACTTTCCTGTGTGCCACAACCCCGGCCCCAACCCACTCGTATTCTTTTTTTTTCTACTGTTGCGCTCATTTGTCCTGGCGACCCAGCGACCTATACACACAGTATGTGTGTGTGCTCACTTGCGTGTGTGTTTGTGTGTCTGTGTGAGAGTTTGTTTGACAAAGCGTAAACAATTGCGAAAAAAGCAAGGCAAAAAGGAGCAAACAACAGCAAAAATAACGGCAAAATCATGAAAGAAAAGCTGACTCAAACACGCCACCGACTGTGTGTGTGTGTGTGCTAGAGAGAGTGTGCGAAAAAAATCGATTTGTGTGCCATCAAAAAGTGCATATATAGGCAGGCCATACACATATCTACATCTGTACTTGTATGTACATATGTATGTACAAATATCCATATATGGGTATCTATGGCATACACGTGTCCCTCTCGCTGTAAGCTGTGTGCGTGTGTGTGTGTGTGGTGAAAGGGAGCAGGAAGGAGGGGTAAAGCAAGAGGCATTCGTTGTGCAACATAATGTTGCAAACAACGTAACGGAATGACTTTCAATTAACACACAACAATCAGTTGTGGAGGCGGAGGAGGAGGCGGAGAAGGAGGCCCCTTGACAAAGCAGAAATCCATTTAACCTTTGAATTGAATGCAAGTCCCAGATTGATTTCATTCTGCCCCCTCAAGCCCACCCCCGCCACAATTGTAACACAGCGGGTGGGTGGGTGCAGGGGGTGGATAAGCGCGCAGGCGAATGCGAAGCGCTGGCGGGTGCAATCTTAATTAATCAACGTGTCCCAGTGCCATTCCCAGTCCCAGTTTGCCCATCGGGCATCGGGCAGCGATAGAGCGAAAGCAGAAATCAAGGTTTATGTAATCCCCTGGCACTCAACAAAACAAAAGGAAAGGAACACACACTCTCGATAGACAATCGAAATGCAGTTGTGTGTGTGTGTGTGTGTGTGTGTGTGCTATCGATATCGATTTCGAATGGGGAAATCGGAACCAGAATTGGCTGAAGCCACTGATCAACTTATGTATAATTATATCTCCCACATCTCTTCTCGTTTGCAGCTATCAATTTAACTATTGCCTACCCAGTTTCACTCCCCAACCAAAATAATCAAAGAGGAAACCCAAGACAGCGCTGAGAAGCTGTCTAGCTAATCACATTCAAAGTGCACACTAAAATCAACCAAAATCAACTACAACT